GGGGTTGTACGCTACTAGAGCACTACTGTGTGGGGGGGTTAGCAGTCGAAACAACCATGTACGGGATTGATCATGTTGCCCAACCATGTACGTTTATAGTCTTGAAAGGGGAACCGAGGTGGCGTTCAAACAGAAACGTGGTGGTGGCCTTGAGCAAAAGCAAGAATAACACAACTCACTAGGCGAAAGTTGGCATTTTTAGTATGCATCTCTCCAAGAGGCGTTGTAGCGGGTAGCTCGAAGGGGTAACGAAGATTTAAGTATGACACGAGGCCGCTCCGTTACCAATAATTATTTAAGTTGACGAGTTGATTAATTTTCTTTTAATACATTATGATTGTGTTTAGACTTCCGCTGTTAAGTTTTAGTCTTTTATGGTTAGTAGTCACAACTTTTGGGTCTTGGGGTGTGACATGCGTGTAGCGTTAATCACATGTGATTTGGTGGTTCTCGTCTTCTTTTATTTGGTTATTGTTAATGTTTGAACAAGATCCAAGATGACAATATCATTGTCGCATAAAATCATCGAATCAAAGTATGGATCTCTTTGAATGATATCGTTTCATTGACAAACCAATGTTATAAAATGTTAGTCGATGTTTATATGCTTAACTATCTCGATTTTAAAATGAGTCTTTTATTGTCGTTATCACTCTGATAATTGCGAGCATGTTCTCATAACATATTTATTTTTGCACAACGCATGTTGAGGAACAATGTATCTGCATTTGCATGATTGTTGTATGAAACCATATCATCTTGTGTGAGGTTTGAACCCCTAATCTCCTAAGAGGCCGAAGACTATGATACTGTTAGACCAAAGTCTCTTTGGTAGTAATCATTTACCTTACAAAATGAGAATGATAATAATCAAGAATTTTATTCGATAATGATCCAAAATCTTACCTAGTCATGAGGGAGAAAACTTTCACCCTGGTCCCTGGTTAACACTTGCCGACTAAAAAGTTTGCTAACAATATATTTTGATGGCCAGAAATATATACAAGATAAGTGAGGATGGGCACTTGATAGCCGCTAACATAAACTATTTTTTTTTTTTTACATTTAAAATAATATCTAAACCATTTAAAATGAAAATTTTTAATATTTTTTTCATAAAAAAATAGTTTAAATGTTTTCATAAATTTACGGATTTAATATTCAGGGAAAGAAGAGTGGGGGAGTCTTCTACTCATATGGCAGTAAACACCAGTGTGTAGCTTAGTTTGATGAGAGATGTTAAAGCTAACCTGCGCCATGTGCGTATATATGACAGAAGCAGACATATCCATACCTTCTCCTGGATATTTGTTTTTGTTGCAGTCACACTGCTACTCAATGTGCAGTCTATTTTCCAACATTTTTAAAACAATATAAAAATTAAAACGTGATTCTCACGTGTCTAATTTCTTCTTTCAACTGACTAATTTATTTAATTTGCTTTTTTTTTTTTGTCTCATATTCTATTTTTATTCCATTTATTTTGACAAGAAAATAAACTATATTTTTGTCCCACTCGGTCCATGTCTGTCACATACCAACTCCTCCGTCAAACGTGGGAGTTGGAACGACATGTTTTTGTTTCAGTCATATTCTGTCCGGTTCCACGTACCAAGCGCACAAGCAGGAAACAACTCTTCAAACATACCCAAGGGGTGGTTGTTTTCCAAAAGGAATTGCTATTTACACCCACTTTAATGTCAAAATCAGGTCGATTCGTGTATTGAGAATGTAAAAAATGAGTTTTGATGTTAACGTGTACAAGGAGGAAACCATATTTAGGTAAGGGTGTGCGTTTAATAATAGAGAGAGGTGCAATTAGTCTAACCCTTTCCAAACCTATTATCTCTATGATGTGAAAGTCAGACGTTGAATCAAACTTTTAACAGCCAGATCTCTTGATATGAAAGTAAGCGCCTATTTATTTAGCTTGATGAGATTCACAGTTTATTCGGTCAGCTATACACGACTCTTTGGTAGTAGCTTAATAATGATACAGAAAGTGGCTTATTCAGTTGGTTTATAAAGGGGAGCTTTATGAAGAAAGTCAGGTTTTTTCCAAACTTGCCACATCCAATTAAAGAGCGCACTTCTTCTATCAATTTAAAAACCCTCTAAAATAAAAATCTTCCCAATGGATAAAGACGTTTGTGTAGATTAATGTCTTTATAGATTGAGAGAGGTTTTTGTTTGAGAGGGTTTAGAAAAAACTTGGCTTTCTACATAAAGCTCCCCTAGAAGCTTACTAAATAAGCCACTTTCCATATCTTTAAGCTACTATGAAACAATCATGTATATATGACCAAATAAGTTGCGAGTCCCATTAAGCTCATCAAGCAGCTAACAAACAGGCCCTAAATGAAAAACCAACCAAACAACCCCTAAGACACCAATTGTTTAGGCACAAAATAGTAATTAAAGAAGACAAACTTATTGAACAATAATCATGGGTATCTGCTTAATCCACAAGGCATGTCCTGATAAAAAACACAGGCAAATCAAACAACCATTTGATCCAAGGGAAAAGCACAAAGGTTTGCAGATAAATGGCAAATCAAACCAAGAATTGGGAAAATTAAGCAAGAGATTCTCTTTCTTTGTTTTCTTGTAGCAACTGCTCCCTCACTCTCCTGATCTCTGCTTCCTTCTCCATTCTTTCTTGCTGCAGTCATGGATACAATTAGAACCCATATCATTCTCTTATCAAACCAAACCAAACAAAATAAAGCCCGGTATAACCAATCAGGGGAGGACCTATTAGGAGCTGGGCGGATACCCATGCACCCGCTCACTCGATTATTGCAAGAGAAAAAATTAGCCGTCTGAAAGGTGCACCCGCTTGATTTTGAGCGGTGCCCTTAAATACTTTAAAACCAAATCCATAACATAACCAAGCACAAGTGGGATGGTTGGATTACCACTTTATATACAAGAGGTCATGGGTTCAAATCTTTTAGGTGAAAGTTCACTATTATATCTTTTAATTTTAGGCTCGAGGGCTCGAGTCCTAAAATGCTATTTCTAAAATTATTAGCAGCAAAAATATAGTTAAAAAGGATTGAACTCACAACCACAAGTGCGATTATAAGTATTACTACCACTATGCCAAGGCAACCTTTTGTTAAATTTTCTCCGATTTTGATTTTATTATTTTTTTCATCGTCTATTTTCCTTCCCAAGGTCAATTCATCATAAAATTGTTGCCTTTTATCTCCTTTTCAAGGCAACATATGTTTATTTTAAAGATCAATGTCGATTCCATTTGAGAAAATGTATTTTACTCCTCAAATTGATACAATTGACTTTTTCCTAAGTCAAACCGTGTTGACTTTCTTCTACGGTCAAACCGCAAGTTTGACGACCTTTGGTCCACCTTTAAGGTGCACCCGCTCAAAGAAATTCCTAGGACCGCCACTGTATCCAACCCAAAGGTGGGGGGATGGGATGTATGTAGGAGTGACCTCTCACATGTATCAAGGAATCCCATCCATTCTCAAAGTAACATACTTGGACTTTGAGGTTGAACTTATGGTCTCACAATTCTTTCACTGACCTTTCTTTCGGTAATAATATATGTCATCGATTTCAACCTAGGCATAACATAGTTCCTCCAAAGTTCAAAGACTTCAAATCTTGAGGTTGAAAAATGCATCATTTATTTCCAGAAAGCATCATTGTTGTCAACTCTGTAACCAACAAATGCAGGCTTCAGAACAGAAAATCAAAAAGTCAACCAGCCTTTTGATCACTTAGGGGCCGTTTACCAAACGCTTACAGGGTCGCGTACCATACCAGGAGAGCATGGGAAAGGACCGAGAATCTTACCCAGTAAGAGATATGACAACAACCGAGGTTCTTACCCAGTAAGTAAGGGAGAAGACTCTTACCCGGTTAGCATTTACTAGGTAAGAGACGGTCACAAACAAGCCATTTTGATGGCCGAGAATGTTAACCCAACAAGGTAAGCGAGGGTGGTTACTCTTGCCCCCTTACTCTAGCCAGACGAATAGTACTCATGGTTCAAAAAATATTTGTAACAAATGGTTTTCGTTATAAGAAAAGTTTGATTAAAACAGTTGTATCATATCTATATGCTGACATGGTACAAAAACACCCACACCATGGATGGAAATGATTAAACAGCCTTTGTACTCGTACAACCACTGTAACCAATATTTTCACTTTCATTAGGGATATGTTGTTCACATTTCATATACTTAAAATCATATGCATGCCAATCAAGACATTCCTTGGACTCTAACCACCATTTTATATATTATGAAAGAGCTCTTGCAACACCAAATAAGAGACTATGGGGCTGTTTACCCAGAGGCGGACGTAGATTTTTTTTCAAGTGGTGACACCATTTGACTATAAGAAACAAAGATATGGATATTTTTTCACAAAATCATCCTTGGTGTATTGGTTAGTGCCTTTGCTTTTCATATGTGAGGTTGTGCTCGAGTCTTTTATTGCAAAATTTTTAGAAACATAATAAATCTGAAACTAAAAACTAAAAACCAAGGAAAACGACGCAAACAGGATTGGAACCCAGGTCTAGGGTAGGAGAAAAGCCATGCAAACCAACTTTACCAAGGGAAACTTGTGTCACCATTGTAGTTTCAAAATATATACGGTTGTACAAAACAAATTGACACGGTGACATCTTTCATGACCCTATAATTTTTTACACTACGAAAAATGAACGAAGCGGTGGCATGTACCAGCATATCCAATAGAGTGGGTCCTTCCTTGCATTTACCAAATGCTTATCAGCAAGAGTCACCACCTTCACTTACCTTATCGAGTAACATTTTCGGCCATAAATATGGATTGTTGGTAAGAGTCTTTTAGCCGGTAAGTGTTTACCGGGTAAGATTTTTGGTTCTTTTTATGCCTCTTAATGGGTAAGATTCTCGATCCTTGTCATACTCACCCAATAAGGTAAGTGTTTGATAATCAGCCCCTAAGAGTCATGTACTTTTACACATGTATCTAGGAGAAACACATGAAAACCTCTCTACCCTATTTGTTTGAGCACTTGACACACAAAAAAATGGTTAATATCGTCACCTGGAGCTATTCAGTAGTACCCGATTCATTAACATACCGTTTGCAAGTACCCAGTTCTAGGTTTGGAGGTGAAAGTCAAGCACATTTTCAACTGATTTAACTCCCAGCAGAATACCAAAATCCATTGAATTGGATCACATAAATGAAATTTACAAATAACCTACTGATTTTTCCCCAATTCCGATTCCAATTCTTAATCCAAAATCCAAACCTCTGAGCTCCAGTCAATTCGTATTATTGTTGTTAATGTTCAACAATTAGATTCACGATTCAACTAACCGGAAATGTATGGTTTTTCTCAGGTTAAAATACAACTTCAGAAAACAATCTACCAAGACGTATAATTTGAACCCTAATTTTGAAAATCATGGCAGCACATCTAGAAGCAAACATCAAAGCACGATCAAAATCAAACCACATAGATAGATATTTGCATATATTGATAAATACAGATATAGATATAGAAAGATAGAGAGATTGTGAGACCTTTTCGTCCTGGTGAAGAGCAATCCAGACATGAACCTTATCCATTGATTGCCAGAAGACGAAAGCACCAAGTGACATCCCGAAAAACGTCGTCATGTTCACCATCTTCGATTCACTCTTCTTCTTCTTCGATCAGATCGAGCTCTGCTAATTGGACATGTATTTAAGCCCCCAATTTTCGATCGATGCCGAAAAGCAGCGAGACTGAAACCCAAGGAGAAATACGTCGTCGTTGAAGGCAGAGGAAAATAGAATAACATATTTTTTACCTTTTGGTCCCTAGACTTTGCTATCTATCAATTATGGCCCAATAATATTTTTTCTGTTAATAATCTCGAGTGGCGGACCCATCATTTTTGTCGACGGGGTGCACCTTGTGAAGTTGGCCAATGTGTTTTTAACCAATATTAGAATGTCTTGAAGGATTTTTTTGGGTCTTTTGGTTGATTTTAAGAGATTTTATTTAAGTTTTTTTGGTTGATTTCGATGAACTCTTTCAGTTTTTCAAATTAATTTACAGAGACTGCTTCAGTATTTTGGTTAATATTCATTGTATTTTTTAATATCTCGAAGCACCACTCAAATTTAGTTGGTGCATCTTTCATATTCTAAAAAAGTTTTACTTGTGAAAATTGGTTTAACAGGTGCACGGAACCCCGCTCAACAACTCACAAGTCCACGCAATGATAGTAATCAGGGGTGACAATTTTGTACGAAACTAATAAACAATGTTTACTCACCATATCAATTTGGTATTAATTACAGTTGGTTGATAAAACCGTACCAAATATACAAATTTGGTTGATACACGATACTGAAAGTCGCATACCATGGTAGTCACGTACTGACTTATATAATTATTTCTTAATTAATTAAATACATGGGGTCTCAAAATACCGATTAGTCCGGCCAACCCGACCTGAAAAAGGAAAACCTACAAAACACTCAACCCGAGATACCTCAACATAGTTGAAACAAAATTGGGTCAATCGGTATTTATTGGGTTATGGATATTTGAACCTAATCCCTCAACCCAACTCAACCCAACCCGGTGATTAAAATATGTACATTTGACATTAGACATTAGACCATTTCGTAATTATATATATTCAAAATTATATTGCAATTTTAATCGTAATTTTATTTTCTTATTTGCATGAACTTTCAACTTTATTTTTTGAGTTTGGTAGTTTTTTTTTGTATGTTATCATTTTTATTTTACTTCGTTCAAGCGCAAACACTTAACTAAATTGTAAACGACGTATCAAAGTTCCAACCTGATCACCCAACGGTCCCAACCAATCCAACCCGCATGATTTGATTTGATTTGAGTTGAGTTGGGTGGAGATCTTTCAAACCACAAACATTGAGTTGAACTGTTCAAATACTTCCAACATGACCAACTCAACCCATATATAGGGCTGTAAACGAACCGAACGAACACGAACGAAGGCTTGTTCATGTTCGTTCGTTTAACTTAACCGAACAAACGAACGAACACGAACGGTAAACGAACGAAAATCTTTGTGTTCGTGTTCGTTCGTTTAGAAATAAGGTGTGTTCGTGTTCGTTTATGTTCGTTCGTTAACATGCTAAACGAACGTAAACGAACGAACATAAACAAACGGGCTAAACGAACATATTAAACGAATATAAATAAATATTATTTGAATTCAAAGTAAATAAATAAAAGATTATATATTAAATTTAATATATAAACGAATATAAACGAACGTAAACGAACGATAAATGAATGAACGTTCACGAACATAAATGAACGAACGAGACTCTTGTTCATGTTCGTTCGTTTAACTAAACGAACAAAAAATGTGTTCATGTTCGTTCGATTATTAAATAAACGAACGTAAACGAACTTCCCGCCGAACGGTTCACGAACGGTTCGCTGAACGTTCGGTTCGTTTACATATACATACCTACCTTTAATTTAGAAGGATATTTAAAACCCAATAGAATATTGACAGTGAAAGCAAATCTTTATAAGTGATAAATACATATCAAAGTTGGCCAATTATATAGATATAAAATTTCAAGTAGGCAAATGCATTATGTGTAATCAATTAGTTCAATAAATGTATTTATTTTAATTATCCGATAAAATTAATTATATTTATTAAAATGTTTTAAATAGGTGGAAGAAAAAACAAAAATTAACCAAAATAATCAATTTATTCAATCAAATTCATTTATGTTCAAAATGCACGAAATAACAATCTAATTTCATAAATCTCTTTTATTATAGCATTGTACTTTCATTTTTTTTACTTATTTACAACAATATACTTTCAAATTATTTTTGTTATAAATATTTATTTTATTCTATTATAATTTAATAAACCACATAATTAATCAAAATATATAAAGAACTCGTTAGGGATAAATTGATCATCTTATTTGTCCTGTTGTGTCCAGTTTTGTCATACCAAACATTGAACAATTGTTCTGTTTAGTCTCGTCTTGTGTTGTTCTATAATGTATGTATACCAAACGCACCATTTGTGAACCAGTTGCAAAAACAATGTTAAATCGACAAAATCCTATCCATGCTCTCGTTCGATGAGATATTGTGTCGAACCCACAAAACCTCAAAAATGTGAGGTCGGGTATGGTCCATAAAGCATGATCTTCAAGTACTAAACGGGAGATAAGATGCATTTAAAAAGCTAAAGGTTTTAAAAAGCTCCATGTACTAACTTTTATGGTGAGGACATAAATATCTTGAAAATATTCTTAAATCGATGGTATCAAGTACACATGGCTAAAAATTGGTTTCGAGCCGAGCTGGGGCGGGTCCAAATCGGTCCTGAGTTGAAATAGTAACAATCTACATTGAGACCGGTCTCGGCGAGAATACTAAGGCACGATTAAGAATACTGAGAGAAAATGGAGGAATCTCCAAATTTAGAAAAAAGAAAAAAATAATAATAACATATCTGTTGGAAATGCTCTGTATGTAAGAAAAAGAATCCCAATTGAGCATCCCTTCTAATGACAAGCATCTATCGGAAGAAGGACGATGATGCTTCAATGGTTACTGCCGGTACATCAGTTATCGATCAAAGGATGCAACATATATGTGTTAAACAAGTTGATCAGTAAAATTCGTATCATGGTATAAACGCTTGGCATGTAGTCCTGTTAGCTTAAGAGATGAAGAGACGTCTGCTCAAAATTTCACTAGTCTCGGGTTTGAGTCTGGACCCTCTCACATGCCTTGTTTTCGGTTAAGTCTGTAATAGCCCACTCACAATGGATTCCTCAAGGGTTAAATATCATGTGAGACCGGTTGGGATTACTAATACAAAACCTTTTTTTTTCCTCTGAATATCTTGTCATATAAATAACAAATTTCAAATTCAAAAATAATTTTCAATCATCCTTTTCAATTTTTGCAAAAATGCCATTTAATTTTGTATTACTTTTTTATTGAAGAATGTTAAATTTAATCAACTTAGAAAATTAAAGTGCTCATTTTTCTTTGATTTGATATAAATAACATCATGTTGTTTTATAATTAATAATGTGACACCCCTAACGGACTGTCCCAATAACTTCAAATCCAACTTAAAACTATTGTGGAAGTTATTAGTAGCCCACTACTATAAAACTTATAAGGAGCTAAAAATTTCATCTTTTATGCATATGAGACAAGTTGTTACAAACTCCTGACGTCCTCATCAGGTCTATCTAGAATCTTCATCATTGTTATCGGCAATGTGGGATTCGTCTAAGATGTTACAAACACCCACTCTTGAGGACTCATCATACCTGATGAGGTTTACTCCCATCCTGATGGTACAGGGATCAGCTCTGATACCATTTGTAACACCCCCAAAGCCCAAAGCAACAGAGTAACTCAATAACTTCGAATCCAACTTTAAACCATGGTGAAAGTTATTGGTAGCTCACTACTTAAGACTTATACGAAATAACAATTTTCACCTACTATCCATATGGTACGGATTGTTACAAATAGTTTCATATAACATGTTTCAAATCTTTAATAATAAAATACATTTATTGTTGATGCTTTAATGGAATTGTTCCAATTGGCCAAATGTTGGTTAACAAAATAAAATGAATTGTTTAATATTTAAATAATTATAATTAAAATAAATCCAAATTTCACTTTCTAAGCAAGATTTAGCATGCAAATGTATCGTCATGTCACACGACACCCATGCTTTAAAAATATATTTATGAAATTAGTGTTGTCGTTTTTATTAACATTTTAGAATCATAATTTATTCCGACAACATCCCTCCTGAAAATGATTACACTTTTAATCGTCGTTAAATTTATAACCAATAAAAAATTAGAACATATTAAACGATGACGATACAAACATTACTATAAATAATATCACGTCCCATCCCTGATTAACGCTTGATAACAACATACATATAAATAATGATTTGGTTTTGTTTCTTAGTTAATGTTGTTTACCTAGCGGTATTGTAAACTTTGGCCTCCTATGAGGTTAGAGGTTCAAACCTCACAAAAGATGAGGAAGGTGTATGAGTTTATTTGTTGTATTTGTCATATATATAAATATTATATACTTCAAAAAAAGAACTTAGTCAAGATTAAACTACAAGAGATTCAGGGTTTTATTGTGATGGTCCGTTTATGGTTCTATTTCTTGTACGTATTTGTTTTAGTTGAGTGAGAAGCAAGTATGATCGGTATTTTGTTTTAGTTGACGTGCATAACTGTTGGGATAAAGAGTTATAGGAACAAGAAAACCGTAAATATTATATTACATACTTTAAGAAGTTGTCCATATTCATGGTCTGTAAAAAATTTAACTCACCCAAGTTACTTGGTAATTAATATTCTAGTCCATTAAAACGACATCATATACAACAATTTACCCGATAAACATTGATCCGGTAAGACTCTTGGTTCGGTTTTACTAAATAAAATATTTGGTCCTTGCCATGTTCATCTGGTAAGATCAGTGATCTAGTAAACACTTACTAGATAAGAGTTTTGTAAAGTACCCATCAGTAGATGATATTTAAAATATTTAATTATTAATTAAAAGTAAATATTAAATTATAAATAATTGAATTATTTTGGTTGTTTGTATTAACTTGGTACAAATCATTGTCACTTGCATATAAAAATGGCAAGTTGAAAGACTAGTTGCATTTTTTAGATTAAAATGAATAGTAAATGGGATTAAC